CTGGAGTTCAGACGTGTGCTCTTCCGATCTATTTTGAAATGAGTATGTGCACATTTTAAAGTTTAGAGTTCATGGACGCTGTATTTTGACTCCTCAAGACCATCCTAATGTTGTTTCGATGTGAAAATATCGCTTAAAAAAAAATTTGAGTTTGAGGAAAAATCACGGTTTTTTTCCAAAAAATTGACTATAACTTTTTTGGACTTTATTTACAAATTCTGATGGCAGATTCTGAAAGAGCAAGAAATTTTACATCAGAAATGATGCTAGAATTTTTTCAAGGCCATTAAAATAAAAAATTAAGCCACTGAAAATTGTTCAAAAAATGTGTTCGCCTGGACGTTAATGGGTTAAAATACATTTTAAAAGTCCACATGAGTTTACAACTTTCCACTCAAATATATTTCTGATTTGAAACTAAAATATGGTTTGGATTAGGATTAGGTTGGATTAAGTTCGTGTTAATGGATGGAACCCCTCTATAGAGGACGGAACATACTGTCTCTACACTTTATAACGCAAAATTAAGTTCCACGTGAGCTTACATTTTATATTTTATAATTTTCCACGTGCAAATATATGTTTTATAACGAATATTTTTTAAATAAATACACATTTATAAAAACAAAAATTGTTATGCATGGCTATGGAGCATGCGCATGTGGTTGCAAGACATGTTCATGTCGCTACATATTGTCGATATGACTGATTTCCTCAACAGTCATCACCTTTAACGATTAATATTTTAGTTTGTGGGGCAGAGCGACGCTTTCTTTCGCCATTCTTTGTTTTCAGAATGAAAGATTCTTTCAGTTATTACGAATGAAAGAAGCTTTATTAACAGTGCAAACGAAAGCTTATCAATATACTTTAATCTTTAAAACAAAACTAAGAGATATTTCGACATTATTCATTCTTATAGTTTGTAACTTAAGAAGTCAATATCTCTTAAACAAAGCGAGCAAATTTCCACTGAAAAATTTTATTTGTTTTGAGGTTCTAAATATTTTAACCTCGGGGATTTAACCTCGGGAGCACCCTGTGCATGTATACAAGGTGAGATATTTACATTGACACATCCAAATATCTTGAAAAATACGCGAGATACGAGAAAATGTTTCAGACAAAAATTGTAGGACATGAAGAGGAATAAATAACGATGAAATCAATTTTACAAAAAAAAAATCGATCTTTTAAGGTCACATGGAGGTCCCTCCACTTTTTTAAGTGGAATGGTATTTTTTTTAAATAATTGATTTCTTTAATTATTCTAAATAAAGAAGTATTATTTTTATTTAAATTAAATAACTTAATCTGTTATATAGAATAGAATTTATTTACTTCAGCATTTTACATATGCCAAGAAGGGACTTGGTTTACAAAAGTTCTTAACCACATTCATCCATCCATACCTTAACCTAGTCTGTCTCTTTTCGACCCTTACGTCTATACCTACAAATAAATACTGCTTCTCTCTTAACTTATCCTTACACCTAATTACAATTATAAATACATTGGTATACTTAACCATTACATTTACATCACAGTTTTTTTACTGCCTTTTATCTTCTTTATCACAATTACTTAGATCTACCGTCTTAACTACCTCTCCCTTTCCTCGATTTTAATCATTATTTATCTCCGTATTCTTGTCATCTCTCATTTCTTTCTCTTTCTCTTTTCTCTTTTTTAATTCCCTGTTTCTAGCCTTCCACAATTTTTCCAAGACTTCCGCTTTCCCCTCATCTAAGTTTTCGTCTAACATTCTACTAATTAGTAGAATGTTAATTCTCGCCTTCATATCCTCTCCTAGTTCTATAAATCACTCTCTTGTTACCTCGCAATCCTCCACATAATGCTCCAGTCTATCCTTCTCTTTTTCGCAAAATACGCACTCCCTAACTGTTTCATTCAACTAATACTTGTTGTCTTCCTCTAAGTTTCCACATCTCAATTTCGCGAATGCCTTTACTCCTCTCCCCCCCTTCGTCTTCCCTAAATTAACCTTTCATAAATATCTTGGCCCTTTCCTCTCTGTCCCTCTCTGTCCTCCTTGTATCTCTGATTATATGTCGCCTGTCCAATTTTTTTTTCTTCCCTTTCTCTTTGCAGCTCCCTTTCCTTTACAATTATTCTTTTCTCTATATTACCCTCCTCCTCTTTCATCCTCTCAATTTCCCTCGAACTCCATCCATATCTATTATAATATTCCTCCATTTCCCTGCTGTACCTGTCCTCCCCATTTTCACTTCTCTTTTCCCACCAATTCCACACCAAACTATCTTTATCTCTTTCTCTGATTTTTCCTTCATATATCACCGCCCTCAGACCCCAGCTTAGTCTCAACTTTTCCATACCTAGTTCCCTCATAATTATATATC